TTATCCCGTGCATAGCACAGGTGATAGGCTAGTATTATAAACGTAATTTATATATTAAAAAAATCTAAAACACATATAAATATCTATAATTATCTCGTGCATAGCACGGGTGATATGCTAATCTATACTATATATTAAGCAAAATGGGGTTTTTAACCCCAAGCCTTGTGGGAGCTCTAATCTCCCAATCTAAATTTCTTGATTTTTTATCTAAAAAAAAAAACCTTAGCATTTATTAACTTCTCCCAACACCCAAGTTTTACCCTTATAATAACACTTTAATGCATTAAGAATAAGCATAAAAAAAATTCTTTGAAATCCAACACATATGAATTCCTTGAAAAGTCCCAACATATATGATTATTATCCCTCATAATAACACTTTAATGCATTAAGAACAAGCATAAAAAAAAATTCTTGGAAAGTCCAACACATATGATTATTATCAAAATATTAAACTTTAATATAATATAATAAAAAAACGACATTTAATTCCTTGAAAAGTCTAACACATATGATTATTATCAAAATATTAAACTTTAATATAATATAAAAAAGGAAAAAAAGAAGGCATTTAAAAATCGCAATTCACATATATAGATAATTGTAAACACAATCTGTGCATAACACGTGTGATATGCTAATCTATACTCTATACTATATATTAAGCAAAATGGAGTTTTTAACCCTAAGTCTTGTGGGAGCTCCAATCTCCCAATCTAAATTTCTTGATTTTTTGGTTTAAAAAAAAAATCTTAGCATTGATTAACATCTCCCAACTCCCAAGTCTTACTCTTATAATAACACTTTAATGCATTAAGAACAAGTATAAAAAAAAATATTTGAAATTCAACACACATAAATTTCTTAAAAAGTCCCAACACATATGATTATTATCCCTCATAATAACACTTTAACGTATTAAGAACAAACATAAAAAAAAAAAATCTCGAAAAGTCCAACACATATGATTATTATCAAAATATTAAACTTTAATATCTATACTATATATTAAGTAAAAGGGGATTTTTAACTCCCAAGGCCTGTGGGAGCTTCAATATCTCAATTTGAATTTTTTAAATTTTTTATTTTTTATTTAAAAAAAAAATTCAGTATTTATTGATTTGGTCAAAATTCCTTGATCAACATTTATTAAATTTTTTCAATCCACATGTCTTTCCACATGCCTGCATTTATTGATTTGGTCAAAATCTCCTAATTAGCATTTAAAATCTCATCATACAAATAATTATAGATACAACCCATATATAGTTACTGCAGTACCCTTTTCAACTTCTCCCATACACTATGGTTAGTGATAAAATTGTTAAATTATTTTTATAAAAAATCTTTAAAAACATAATTTATATATTAAAAAAAATTTAAAACAAATATAAAATATCTATAATTATCTCGTGCATAGCACGGGTGATAGGCTAGTATATTAAGTAAAATGAGATTTTTAATCCCAAGCCTTGTGGGAGCTCCAATCTCCCAATCTAAATTTTCTGATTTTTTGATTAAAAAAAAAACTTAGCATTTATTAACTTCTCTCAACCCTCAAGTTTTACCCTCATAATAACACTTTAATGCATTAAGAACAAGTATAAAAAAAAAATCTTTGAAATCTAACACATATGAATTCCTTGAAAAGTCCCAACACATATGATTATTATCACTCATAATAACACTTTAATGCATCAAGAATAACCATAAAAAAAATTCTTGAAAAGTCCAATACATATGATTATTATCAAAATATTAAACTTTAATATAATAAAAAAAATATTTAATTCCTTGAAACGTCTAACACATATGATTGTTATCAAACTATTAAACTTTAATATAATATAAAAAAGGAAAAAAAAAAGACGTTTAAAAAAAAAGACATTTAAAAATCACAATTCACATATATAGATAATTGTAAACACAATCCGTACATAGCATGGGTGATATGCTAGTATTATATAAAGAAAATGAGATTTCTAACCAACAAGTCTTGTGGAAGCTCCAATATTCCAATCTTAATTTTCTAATTTTTTGATTTAAAAAAATAATAATCTCAACATTTATTGATTTCTCCCAATCCACAAGCCTTTTTGACTTCTCACATAGTTATTGCAGCACCCTTTTCAGCTTCTCCCATACACTATAGTTAGTGATGAGATTATTAAATTATTTTTATAAAAAATCTAAAAACAATCATTTGTATATTAAAAAATAATAATCTTTACTATATATTAAGCAAAATAGAGTTTTTAACCCCCCAAGCTTTGAGAGAGCTCTAATCTCTCAATCCTAATTTCTTAATTTTTTGATTTTAAAAAAAAAGAAACTCAGCATTTATTGATTTGGTCAAAATCTCTTAATCAGCATTTATTAACTTTTTTCAATCCACATGTCTTTCCATATGCCTGCATTTATTGATTTGGTTAAAATCTCTTGATCAGCATTTAAAATCCTCTCATATAAATAATTATAGATATAATCCGTGTATAGTTACTGCAGTACCCTTTTCAACTTCTCCCATACACTATGGTTAGTAATAAGATTGTTAAATTATTTTTATAAAAAAATCTTAAAAAACATAATTTATATATTAAAAAAATCTAAAACAAATGTAAATATCTATCCCCTGATTAGCATTTATTAACTTTTTTTCAATCCACATGCCTGCATTTATTGATTTGGTCAAAAACTCCTGATCAACATTTAAAATCACCTCATACAAATAATTATAGATACAACAATCTGTGTATAGTTACTGCAAGTATTTTTTTCAACTTTCTCCCCATACATTATGATACATAGTGATAAAAATTGTTAAATTATTTTTATAAAAAATCTTAAAAAACATAATTTATAATGTAAAAAAAATCTAAAATAAATATAAATATTTATAATTATCTGTGCATAGCATGGGTGATAGGCTAGTTTTGTATATTTAAGCAAAAGGAGATTTTTTAAGCGTCCAAGACCTGTGGGAGCTCCAATTCTCAATATCTTAATCTGATTTTCTAAATTTTTATTTTTTAAAAAAAAAACTTAGCATTTATTTATTTAGTCAAACTCTCTGATCAGCATTTATTAACTTTTTTAATCCACATGTCTTTCTACATGCCTGCATTTATTGATTTGGTCAAAATTCCTTATCACATTTAAATCCCACAAACAAATAAGTACAGACATAATCCGTATATAATACTGAAGTACCCTTTTTAATTTCTCTTATACTCTATGGTTAGTGATAAGATTATTAAATATTTATATAAAAAAATATTTAAAAATATAATTATATATTTTTAAAAAAAATTTAAAATAAATATAAATATTTATAAATAATAAGTAATATTAAATATGCAAATTGAGTATTGTGTGGTCAGTTTTTGTCTGATCCCTCACATGCGCCAAATCTTTATTGGGAAAAGCGATTGGTCAAGACCCATTGTACATTGGCAATTGTTTGCTTTTAATTGCGACCACACAAATTACGGTGTCGTATAGTTAAAAAATAATAATAATACTGAGCCAAAATTGGACCCCACAACCACTAATTGATTTGTGGCCTTGTTTTCTCTCCTCTCTCTCTTCCCTCTCTCTCCACAAAAGTGCTGTGGGGGTGTGGGTCTAAAGCATAGAGCCAAGGTTCTCTCCTGTATTTGTCTTGTGCTACTTTACAGGCTTTTGACATCTACTTTTGGTCTAATTTTAAATAATTCGAACATGTTCATATTTTATGATTTATTGTATCATATTTGTAAAAAATCAAATTGATCGGATATCAGAAGCATATATTCGGAAAACTGTTTATTAAATTTTTAAAAAAATAGTTTTTAGTTCAATTTTTCGAACACATACTTCTGATATCCGATCAACTTGATTTTTTACAGATATAATATACTGAATAAATCATTAAATATGAACGGTTTCAGATTATCAAAATTGGCGCTAAAAGTAAACCCGAAGCCTGCAAGGACGGGTGGCAAGCACAGAACACAAGGAGAGGAATCCTCATTCCCAAAGCATAACCCTAAAAAAAAATGTTAGTGAAAATAAGCTCCGTTTGATAAGAGTTTTAAATTAAATCTACTTATTGATTTTAGTATGTAATTTTATTTTTAAATCATAATTTAACACCTATTTCTCAAACCTCAATTCAAAACATAATCTTTTTTTCAAAACTCATAATCAAACACATAAATTCAAAACTCTTTCAAAACTCCAATTCAACTCAATATTTTAATTTTTTAATATTTTAATATTAAATATTTTAAAATTATTTAATTTGTTATATTTAAATATTTAAATATGTTACGATTTTTAAAATTTTTTAATTTTAATATTGTATTTTCAAAATAATACGATTTTAATTTTTTAAAATTTAAAATATTTTATAAAATAAATTCAAACTCTATTTATGAAAATATTTTAAATATTTAATTTTGTTGTTATGTATTTGGTTAGATTTGAATGTAGAGTTGTGAAATAGTAGGGATTTCGAGTTATGTATTGGTTATGAGTTTTAAAAATAATTCCTTAATTTGATTTTGATTTATGTATTTGGTTACGATTCAGTATAGATTGTTTTAAATTTAAAAATATTATTATTTTAAATTATTTAAATTTTTATATAAATTTTACGATTTAAGTTTTTTGAATATTTATTTTAATTTTTTACTTATTAAATTTTTAGATTATTTAAATATTTAATATTTATGATTTAAATTTTTGAATATTTATTTTGAAAAAAAATTATTTCCTTTGTATATTTTCAATTAAAAAATTGATTAAATGTTATTTTATGTTATAATAAATTTTTTTAATGAATTTTAAAAAGAGTTGGGTATTGAGTATTGATTAGAATTTCAATAGTGTGAATAGTGTGTTTTGTTATTGAGTCATAACAATTTGAATTAAGTTTTGAAAACTCTTTCTAAAACTCATAACCAAACAAATTTTCTTTATTCAG